AACCTGGGCTGGTGGAAGGTGTCCCTGCCCCTGGCAGGGGGTGGCACTGGATGAGCCTTAAGGTCCTTTCCAACCCAAAGCATTCCATAATTCCATAAGACCACCTGAAAAGGATCAAACTCGTGTTCCAGCACCTGTTGGGAGGGTGATGGAGCACTAAGTGAGTGTTGCTTGCCAGACCTGTCAGGTGTTACAAAGGTCTGTCATTGATTTTCATGATTTCCTCATGTTTTGTCTGTCTTTAACCATATTACAGGATCTTTAATGGTATTAGAGAGTCAAATTATTTGAAAAATTCTCTGCATTCCCAGTAACTTTTTTACTGGAATACATTTTCACTCTACAGTAACCACTGTAGATAGTAGTAGTGTTACCTTCCCCACTGAAATGAAATAAAATAAAATAAAAATAAATAAATAAATAAATAAATACTGGGAAAAAAAATCAATTTGGTCAACAGCAATGGGAATTAATTTGGGTTATGCCAGCATTTCTCTGCTGCTGTGACAGGTTCTTTAGCATTTCACTGGGGACATGAGGTGCCAACACAGGCCCAGGGTTTGTGAGGCTGAGAGCAAGAAAAGGTGCTGCAGATTGTCCTGGAGGCAAATAATGAAACAGTAAATAATGCAGCACTGCTCCAAGTCTTTCTGACCCCGAGGCAGTAACTGGAACTGGAAGTGAGTTGGTTTCTGTTCCTCTCACAGGAAGCCCCCGTGGCTTTTTTTTTTTTTTTTGGCTCCTTGTCCTGCTCCCCTCGAGTTTTTTTGTTGTTCTGGAGCAACATTTCTGGGTGTTGGTTTTGCTGAGGTGAAAATGATGAACTTGCCAAGGATCAGAAAGTACCTTCAGTGATTTTTTTTTCACAGCAGTTCCATCCAGGCCCTGCAATTCCACCAGCTTTTTTTTCCAACCAGATGACCCACTGTGTGATCATTTTCTGCTTTTATTTTTTATCTTCATTCAGATTCTTTTGGCCTCCTTTTACTGAGGTTTTGGATTTGTTGAGGTTTTTTTTTTTTTTGTTCTGCAGTTTAACTCAGGATAAATTCTTGTCTGTCTCCATAGGAAATCAGAAATTAAATGTGAAAGCAAATATAAAAGTGATCCCATATAACCAGCTGCACAACATTGCCCCTTTACTGGGCGTGTTTGGTGTCTGTATTTTATTATACAACATTTTAGTAGGGCTGTTTTGGTTTAAAATGGTGTAAAAGTGAAACTTAGGAAGTCTAAAACAGCATCAGTCTTAACTATTATGGCTTTTTAATTCCCTTGTGCAGTTTTATATCTTATCTGGGCATATATTCCTGAGACTTGGCTGTTCTCCTTGGGACTGACATACTGGCCTCAAAAGTAAGTTCTTAACCTGAATACTTGTAACTGTGGGACACCCTTAATTATTTTAAAATTAAAAAGCTTTTTTTTTTTTTTTTAAATAGCAGCCTTGTATTAAATCAGTTTTTCCCTCGTGATAAAGGCCTGTGATCTTTGTAAAGCATTTTTTTTAATGTAGATAATAGGCAATGAAATAAATGGCATTTGACTTTTTTATGATAAATGTGTTGTTTTGTTCTCAGGAAATTTCCTGATGAAAATATAGTAAATTTGAGACCACAATTAAGAAATAAACACCTTCTGTAAGGAATCTATTTGATGGTTTATACCAGAGTAGCTGCAGTGTCTTTGCAGTCAATAATCTTGGGAGAGACCAAGGACAGTATTCAGAGGTGTTATTTCTTTTCCTCCTGGCTCAGTTTGTGCTGGATGCAATAACACCCTGAAAACTGTTGCATCATTAGGCATTTGTTATCATGGTATGTAAATTTTAAAATCTTTCTCCTCAGGTACTGGGCAGTTGCTTTGCCAGTGTACCTCCTGGTGGCTGTAGGAATTGGTTATATATTGCTTTTTGGGATTAACATGATGAGCACAGCTCCCCTTAACTCCACACACACCATCACAGGTAATTTTATTGGGGTTTTATTTCAGGTTTTGGTGCTTAGCTGATAGTTTCTGTAAATCTATATATGTGGCCATGTAGAATATAAACCAAATTTTAAGCCTTTAAATGTTTGAGTTCTTGGAAGTACTGAGGTATTGGAGTGAAAAGGTGACCACGAGCCTGACTCTTCCCTCTTTGCCACCTCATGGCACCATTTTCCAACTGGAGGGGGGGAATTTGCTACTAAAACAGACCACAAAGAGCATATGAAGATCTCCCAGGAACTCATCTGGATGTACAAACCAGTGGAGAAGGTGGGAGCACCCACCTGGCACTGGCAGAAGTGGGAAAATGATCCAAGGGCTGGAGCAGCTCTGCTGGGAGGAAAGGCTGGGAGAGCTGGGATTGTTCAGCCTGGAGAGGAGAAGCTTTGGGGGGAACTGATTGTGGCCTTGCAGGGCCTGAAGGAGCTCCAGGAAAGATGGAGAGAGACTATTTCCAAGGGCTGGAGGGACAGGACAAGGGGAATGGCTTCAAACTGACAGAGTTAGATGGGATATTGGGAAGGAATTCCTGGCTGGGAGGGTGGTGAGGCCCTGGCACAGGTTGCCCAGAGAAGCTGTGGCTGCCCCTGGATCCCTGGAAGTGTCCAAGGCCAGGTTGGATGGGGCTTGGAGCAACCTAGGATAGGGAAAAGTGTCCCTGCCCATGGCAGGGGGTGGCACTGGATGATCTTTAAGGTCCTTTCCAACCCAAACCATTCCATGATTCACCTTGGATGGGGCTTGGAGCAACCTGGGCTGGTGGAAGGTGTTGGGGGTTGGACCTGGCTGATCTTTAAGGTCCCTTCCAGCCCAAACCATTTTGGAATTCTATAAAAGGAGAATCTGTGTCCTCCTCTGCACAAGGAATTCCACCAGTATTTGCAGGTGGCCATTTTTGGTAGGAAAAAAGGCAGTAAAATGTGGCAAGAAAATTCTTTATTGCTAAGAACTTAAGAACTTTCAGTGTTTGAACTGTGTACATGGAATTAGATTCCACTGGACTCCTAAGGAAAAAAAAAATTCAGTCAAGGCTGGAGTTCAAATGCACCTTAAACCAAACAAAATCCCAGCCAGTGATTTCAGGAGTCTGGGGGTCATTTCTTCAGGGACTCTGCTGATAAATGTTGATGTAAAGCACATTTGATGACCATCTCAGCAGGGAGGGGTTTCCTAAAGAGCTAAATTTATCCAGTGTTCCTTTTTATAGAGCACCTCTTGAAAGAAAAGAGTCTTGAAGACCTGAAACGTTCTCGTTGTCTTTTGTAGATAACTATGCAAAAAAGCAGCAGCAGAAGAAATTCCAAGAGGAAGCAATTCCAGCATTGAGGGACATTCCCATCAGTGAAGTAAACAGAATGTTCTTCCTTCCTGAAAAAGGCATCTGCAATAGCAGGTAGTCATTACTGAGGTTTGTTTGAACAAAGGATTAATGGAAGTGCTGCATAAGGACAGTCAAAACCTCTCCAAGCTAAAAAAAAAATACTTTCAGCTTGTAGAACAAAGAGTTTAGGTTTTTTTTTTAATCCCTAACTAAATTTATATTAACACCTGGTATTATTTGCATGTACCTACACAACCTGCCTCGGTATGAGAGTTACACCACATTAATTTTTCAAGCCATTCTTGGGAACTTAAAAGTGTTCTATTGTCATTGCCCTCTGAGAGGGAGAGAAACAGCTTTTTTTTGGCCATGGTTTAATTCTGTTTTCCTTTTGGACATAGTTTAATTCTGTTTCCCTTTAAATTCAGGGAGAAAATACTTTTGCTGGTCAAATGTCGAGGATTTATTTTTATTAAGTTAATTGGGACTGTTCACGTAAATATAAAGCTCTCCTTTGTAAATATTAATAAAGTGTAGCTCACTTTTGCATGTTCAAATTCACCATTTTTCTGTGGTTCTGTGTTATTTTTTCCTGGGTAAAGGTCCACTTTCCTTCACACAATTCTTTATTCAGCAAAATATGTTGATCCCCCTCTCCCAAAATTGGCAGGGTTATTGAATTACCAGGAATACCAGAAACAAGAAAGGTGAGTTGTGAAGATTTTCTGAGGCAAGTCTTGAAATTTAACTTTTTTAAAGCATTTTTAAGAATAGTGAAAACTCAGTTCAAGGAAATATCTGGAAATACAGGAACTGGCAGGTCCATCTTGTTATAGCCCAAGGTTACAACACAAAGCACAATAAGTTGTTATTAGGGAAGTGGTTCAGATGTTTCTTAAACAGTGAATTTTCCTTTATTTTTTCCTTTAGAGAGCCACAAACCCAGTTATTTTCAGGAGTCAGGGTTATTTAGATTGGTTATAAAGACCAGAGGATTGACTATTATTGTGTATTAGGCTTTATAAGGTTTATAAGCCAACTTCAGAGCAGAGAGAATTTAGTTAAAAACTTCACTTTTTCACTCAAATATAAGAAATTTTTGAAAGTCTCTGTGAAAAATCTTATGCCAATTCTTTAGAAAGCAGGCAAAATGACCATCAGTTGATCTGGAAAGTCTTACCACCTGGTAACAATTAATTTGGTGTAAGTATAAAACCTGTAGTTGGTTGGGTTTTTTACCTGCTTTTGAAGGAAAAAATTATTTGAATTTTTTTTCAGTATTATGGGTAGGAGAAAAATACCTCCTTAATGAAGGAAAAAGTGCTTTTCACCATTTTGCTCTGAAATGAATTAGATATTTGGTATATTGTTGTTTGGGGGAACCTCTTAAGAATGTTTGTAGCTCAGCCTAATGGCTGTAAATCTGTGCAAAGGTTGATTTGTTTGGGAGTTGTAGACTTTGTTAGTGAAGTTTTGGGTTTAGTTTACTGTTGTTTCCCACTCCTGCCACAATTTTGTCCTTCAATTAATTTTAATTGACGTGCTCAGACACCCATACATAGAATGAATTCAGGATTTTATGATCAACAGCCACAAAGATTTATCTTTACTATTTTGTCACTTCTCTAATCCCATTATAGACATTGAAGTATTGACTGTCATTTATTTTTTTTTCTGTGTTTTTCCTGTGTTCCACTTTCCTCTTGCTCTGTGAGAAAGCAATTTCCCTCTTGAATTCTGAATTGACAACAACTGAAGGCCACGTTTCTGGTCTCATCTGATGTGAGGATTAATTCAGTCCCCTGCTAAGGAGACCCAAATCCCTTCAGGGATAAAGCAAAGCTACTGGAAAACGCCCTCAAGCCCTGAAAGCACACAAATTAAAGGACTGTAAACCTTGGGCAAAGATTGTATCAGTGATGAATCTGCCATTTCATTTCACTGCAAGACCCCACAATTATGGGAAAACCAACAAGAGGCACCGGAGTGAGGAGGGGAAAGGGGGGCCTTTTGTTTAAGGAAAACTTGCAGGGGCGAAACTCAATCTTTGCTTTTCTGTCACTGGTGCTTCAAAGGCACCAGGGTGACCTTTTCTTCAACTTGGTCGTGTTTGACACTTCAGAAATGGCCTCTTGTGGTGTTTTGTGGGCTAAGAAATGTGTAGTAGGGGATTGCAGGTGGTGGGGATCCATCATTTCCTTGGTGGGGATCCGTAGGTCTTGGCTGTGATGGTGATTAAGGAGAAGATGCAGCTCTGCCAGCAAAGAGGAGAGGAGGTTTTGTAAATATACAGCTGTTTGGTGGGATTTATATAGATTTTTGCCTCAGATATTGAGAAAGAAACAAAACCCTGGAATGATTGAACAGTGTTGCTGGCAGTGCCTTTCTTTACAAAACATGCCTGTTAAAGGCTGGATATCAGGTGTCCATTCTTCTCACAGAAGACAGAGGAAGAACTAAATAAATAAAGGCACAAACCTAAATTTGCCCTTGTTTTCACCCTTCTGGCTTCATTATTGTAGCAGAACTAAACAGAGTTTGATCAACTGCCTCGTCCCTGCTGGGATAATCCAAGTGATGAACCTTCAGCCTTGTTTTTAAATGCACCTTTTTAGGATTCTCCTGCAGTTTTTACCCTGTTGTTTTTTTTTTTTTACACATCTTGCTATAACCTGGGCTAGTGGAAGGTGTCCCTGCCCATGGCAGGGGGTGACACTGGATGATCTTTAAGCTCCCTTCCAACCCAAACCATTCCATGATTCACCTTGAGTTATGCAGGTGTACTTCTGCTGTTACCTAAAGCATTGTACAGACCATTCCAAAATTATTTGGAGCACAGGAGGAATGCTGTCAGCTGGATTTGATCATCTGTAGAATAACCATTATTTGGGATTGGGGCTAAAAGGTGAGTAACACATTAGCCTAGATTTTGTTATGGCAAAGGTCCAGATATGAGTAGGGACAATCAAAGGCTCTCATATAAAATAGAAAGCTGTAATAATAAAAACAATAAATGTTTATGCTGGTACACATCTGTGCTAGGTTGTATATATATATATATATATATATAACATTAAAAATGCAACTCTACCACCAATGGCAAGTGAAGGCTGTCCAAGGAAAGATGTTGGTAAAGTAATACTGACATTCTTTTTAGTGGGCCTTTAGATTCTATAAATTAAATGAGGCAAAGTTAGGCCTAAAAGGTCCTTCAATTAAGAGATTATAACTGTAGAAATAGTGAATGTTTAATCTCTGAGAGAACTGAAATATGAGACTGGAGGTAGTGGAGGGACAATCTAAATAGGCACAGAATCACCAAGGTTGGAAGAGCCCTTCAGGATCATCCAGGGCCACCCCAGCACCACCAGGATCACCCCCAATCCATGCCCCCAAGGGTCACATCCAGACACCTCTGGAACATTCCCAGACACAGGGACTCCACCACCTCCCTGGGACACTTATTGCAAGGTCTGACCACTCCTGCAGGGAAAAATTGTTTCTAATCTCTGATCTGAACCTGCCCTGGGGCAATTTAAGGCCATTTCCTAAGCCCGACCCCTCCCCACTCAAACCTCTTTTCAGGAGTTCTTCTTTTAAAAAAAAACAAAACACAACTTTTCAAACACTTACTTTTGTTACCAGGCGGTTTCTGTGTCATTTGTGAGTGCAAATGATAAAGCATTTCTGCCTCACAAGCAGAAGAGCTGATTGGTGATTTTGTGTAAATGCATTTCGGTCCATAATGCACCTTTTTCGTGGGCCCTTGAGTCTGAGTCACTAAAATGCTCAGTGCAGACTCTGCAGCTTTCAAACAACTGAGATGAATGGGGGGGTTTGTATCTCTCCCTCTATTCATGAATTGAACTGTTTCCTGAGGAGAAAGTTTTGGAAGGATTTGGTTTTGTTCTGCCAGTTCCCTTACGGAGGGGTTGCCAAAGTAAATCTTGGGGGTGTGCTCTGCAGTTAATGGATCAACTGAATTCTCAGCCTTCTGCTAAAAGCAGCTGATAGAATTACCCAGTCTGGAAATCATGATTCTATGGAGTGTAATTAAATAGGAAGTTGTTTCAGTGAATTGGATGGATTTTGTCTCTGGAGCTCGTAGAACTGTTATTGGGAATATTGCCTTTCCTGGGTTTTGCTGCTGTTGTCATTCAGTGTAAATGTAGCTTAGAAAAAAAAAAATCCTACTGTAGTTTTTTTTTTCTCTTAATCCAAATTATTGCTGCATTATAGTTAGAAAGGACACTCAGCAAACTTCTGTCTCGTGTGAGGATGTGATTTCCTTGGATTTATGTGGCCTTCAGGAGCTTGGCCTAAAAGATCTCAGAAACAGAATTCAGGACTGTTCAATGAACATAAACCTTAAATATGATTTTTCCCATGAATACATACAACAGCAATGTGAAATTGTTGTGTGGACACCTCTCCAGCATTCCTGTACCAGTGGAACATTAACTTGCCTTTTCCTGTCATCTTTTTCCAGACTGGGAATCAAAAGGAGCATTTGCTGGAAATGTTGCAGCTGTTGAAATGCCGAGGGAAGTTTTGTGGAACAGAGCCCCGAGCCAACATTTCATCTGTGAAATGCTGTTTCTGGGCCCGTGTTTGAAGCAGCAAACTCGTGATAAACTGGTTATTTGGGGATGCTTTGTTATCTTTTTCCTGTGAGTGACGGACGGTTTGAAGGTCACCCTAAACTTCGCAGGGTCAGCTCGCAGATGAGGCAACAAATCAGAACTGGAAACTGGAAGTTCACAGCAGTTGAATCCCAGAGATCATAAAATCAGAGATGCTGCATCAGTTCACTTCCAGGCTTCTCTTAGTTATTGACAGGCTGGGAAGGGGTCACAGTGCATTCTGTGTGTGTGGGATGGGTCATCACACCCCTGTCAAGTCATCTCGGATGCTTTTCTGTTTCTTTTTGCCACAAACTGAATCAGGATGAAGGTGGGGAATAAATAATTTCAGGGTATCTTGGGAAAGACCCTTAAAATGCCTGTATTTTAGTTCCATATGTCTGGAAGGGGAGATGTGGAAATGGTGAACGGGTGAGATGTAAAAGCTGAGTTTTCACGTTTCATCTAAACTTCAGGGTTTAAATTTCAACTGGTTCTTGTCAGTCCCTGCATTATAATCTGCCGGCCCCTTGTGAAAATTGAATTAACAGATTCTCTTTTTAGTTTGCAAGCGGAGATTTAAAAAAAAAAAAAAAAAATCCCTCATTTTAATGCATGAATTTATTTGGAATCCTGATTTGCCAGACTTCAAATGTGTGACACCAGGGCTTTGTTTGCCAGGACATCACTGAGAGGAAGATCTGACACACACTTTAAGTGGTTCTTAAAGCTGGCCTGACCCTGTCTGCACAACCCACAGTGATGTAGAAAAGGTCAAGGATCTGGAATTCTGCCTTTGCCTTGTCTCCAGGGAAACCAGGCCAGTTTTGGCTG